TCTTCATCCTCCGACTCTGTAAGCCCGAGGCCGAGAAAGCTAACAGCGATGATAGGCGCGGTCCACAGCACTTCTGGTGTCAGGGTCCTGGGGTTGGAGGGGCATGTGAAGAGGTGCTGGATGTCATGGGGACCTTGGCCACATGCGGGTGCAATTGTTGCCCGTGCGCTTGCCAGACATTAAGATGGGTAAGGTCCTGCAACTTAATTGTCAGGGGGCTTATTCAGTGATGTGTGATGTAGGCGCATTGATGGTAGAGGAGGGCTGCAGCATAGCTCTGCTCCAGGAACCTTATGCCACGCAGGGTGTGGTCTCCCTGGTGGCTTCAGGGTTTTCATTGACCGTGGGGCCAATGCTGCAGTTGTGGTGAACAACCCGCACTTAGAGAGCGTGTTGGTAGACTCGTCTGAGCTAGGGGTAGTTGTTAGTGTAGAGGGTAGGTTCGGGAGGCTGCTCGTCAGCAGCAGCTATTGTAGGTTTGGTGAGTCATTGGAACCCTACCTCGTCTACCTTGACACGGTGCTACTTCTGGCCTGTAGCAGACCTGTTGTCATCGGTCTAGACGCGAACGCCTCCCCAACCGCATGGTTCAGCAAGACATCCCTCGATATGTCGGGATATCGAAGCTGGCAGCGGGGGGAGTCGTTAGCAGAATGGGTGGCAGTAAACGAGGTGGACATTCTTAATGTCCCGAGCGAGTGGTTTACATTCGACGGTCCAATGGGACATAGATGTTACGTTGGCGAATGCGGCAGGCAGTAGGGACTTCAGTTTCGACTGGAGAGTTAGGGGTGGATAGGGTATAAGTGACCACAATCTTATTGAGATCGTGATCTTGCCCCATACGCCTCCTGGCAGGGATTCTGTGTGTCATGCGAGAAGGTGGCGTACCAGTGGGGTTTCCAGCCGAAGTGGCTATGCGGGTAGTGCCTCTGAGCGATTTTGAGGAGAAGACCTCGGTTGAGCAAATAGCTTGTCTTAACGAAATCGTTTGGAAGGTAAATGATCGCGCGCTGCGTAAATGGGTGCCGCCTAATCTTAGGCGGGTGAAGTGGTGGTCGCGAGCGCTCAATGACAAGAGGAAGGCTGTCCGTCGATCGAGACGTTTGTTTCAAAGATGTAGGCGTAGCGGGAGGGGGGGGGGGGGATAATCTGTTCCAGCTTAGGAGTCAATATAGGAGTGAGATGAGGGAATACAAAGATCTGCTAGTCAGGACGAAAGAGGAGCACTGGCGGAGATTTGTAGGGGAAAATAGGGACGACCCTTGGGGACAGGTCTTTAAGATCTGTCGGGGTCGTCAGAGTAGGGAAATCACCTCTCTTCGCGTTGGTGACACTATGTTATCATCGTGGGGGAGTGTGCAGGGGCTCTGTTACGAACGTTCTTTCCTAGGGCGGAGGTGCAGGTTCCTCAAGCACAAGAGGTGCCTGTCCCCCCACTAGATGCTGGGGAGTTGGGTTATGCGTTTGGCCTTGTTAGGTCTAGAAAGTCACCGGGTATTGACGGTTTGAACGGAGATGTGCAAATGCTTGTGGAAGTTCATTCCGGAATATTTGGAGGCTATCTATGATAAATGTATTTGGGAGGGTTATTTTCCACGTGAGTAGTACGGGGGAGTGTCAACAAGTATGTCCTTGGCCTTTGTTGACTTTAAGGGTGCTTTTGACTACCCACGTTGGGACAGAGTCATTGAGCGTTTGGAAGAGCTGGGGTGTGCAGAGATAGCTCTCTGGCGGAGTTATTTCTCCGATCGCAGGGGGACTGTTGAGGTCGATGTGGCTCGTGGTCACATCAGTGGTCCATTTATTTGGAACCTTATGATGGATTCCCTGCTGTGGGAGCTCGAGCCAGTCTGTGGCTTTAGTGCGTACGCCGATGACCTTCTCGTCTGGGCGGAAGGAAATTCCAGGTCAGATATAGAAAGGCAGGGATAACGGCTGCTTGAGATCGTCGGTAGGTGGGGGCAACGTATGGGGGTCGACACTTCGGTTGGCAAGACGGTAACAATGTTACTCAAGGGGAAGCTATCGTTGTGACGTACACCGGTGGTTTTCGTCAACGGGGTCAGTCTTAGATATGTGACGCTTCAGGTATTGATGGGAGTGCCTCCTCTTGACCTGGTGGTTATTGCGAGAGCTGTGACCTTCAGGATGAGAAGAGGCATGAACATGTTGCCGTTGACTAGGTGGGTTTCGGACGGTGACTTGGAGAGGTGCTATCTTGAGTACAAACGGTTGTTGGATGACAGAGTGCGTGGTATGTGGCAGGACCGTTGGGATGGTAGTTTCAATGGTCGTGTTACATACCGCTTCATTCCGAGTGTAGGGTTTATGGGAGAGAATCCGGGCTTCGGGTATTGCTTGAGTTTGGATTTTCTACTAACGGGGCATGGTCCTCTTAATGCTTTTTTGCACAAGAGGAACCTCAATTACTCTGAGGGGTGTGAGTGTGGAGCGGAGCTTGAGGATGTCGAGCACGTGCTTTGCGAATGCCCGAGATACTCGGACTTGAGGAATCTTGACAGCATGGTGGTAAAATGGACGGATGGACGGTACGACTTCGGTAGTACCCTCTCCACACATTTGACGGTAACGAACTTGAGGAATTTCGCACGTGAAGTTTTTAGAAGGCGAATACGAGTTGAGTAGATAGGTGGTGTTGGTGATGGCTACCAGTCCAGAGTAGTATGGTAACTCAACTGAGAGTGGCTTCGGCCACGAGGTCTGACCGGAGACTTAATTCTGGTACCACGGGGAGCAGTTGCCCTTGGAGCTTGCTCCAATCTGCTCGTGCGGCTTGGCCCTACGGGGAGTATCGTGGTGGCTGTGGTTTAAACCCGAATGCGGGGAGAGTCGTGTTGGCTCGATGTGGAGTTGCATTGCAACCGGGTGCCGGACCCATAGCACGGCAGAGGTTTAGATAGGCCTCGAACCCTACCAAAGTGGTTAGTGTGTCCATTCCGCGCTGCCAAATGGTACCGAGATGCTTGCATTTCGGGGCGCTGATCTGCGCATTGAATTGATCCGTTGAGCTTTAGGGGCTCCGTTGAGCTTGGACTGCATTAGATTGCGGAAGGTACCCACGTTAAACCTAAAACTATAACTGCGGGCAGGTGTTTGCCACTTTATTTAGCCGGGAGAGGTTGTTGAGTCGGTTACACCACCCCGAACGGAGTTGTGCAAGGGTGCACCCGGTCTCTCTCCGCAGTTCAGATTCCTCTAAATTAATTGGCGGCGGTCGGCCATCTAAGACAGCGTTGTCATTGCGCGTGCTGGGGCTCGTTCTGACCGCAGCGCTGTGTAGGGTGTTGCGCGCCGCTCTGTATCTTGCTGCGTCGAATGGATGGTCAACGTACGGCTCAATGTCTGCCTTCCAGTCGTGCAGGTGTCGTCTCACGTGTCGTGGGGCGGTTCGTTTCGAAGAAAGGCGTTGTTGGGAGGTTTCTCTCGGTGAAAACCCACGAGGTATGGCTTCGACAGCATGGTGTTGTGTTCTTTTAACGCCAGCATCTGGCTTTCTTACGTAGAGCTGCGTTCTGTCAGGCTTGGAGATTCCTCCACCAGGTGTCGCTTGTCCCCGCCGTCCACACTGGTGCCGCGTAGTTTGCCTCTGACCGGCCAATTGTCTTGTAAGTCGCGAGCAGAGTTTCTTTGTCGGCTCCCCAGGTGCTGCCAGCTAGCGATATGAGGACTTTGTTCCTGGCCCGGAGTTTGTTACATGTGGCTGTGGCATGCACGGAGAAGGAGAAAAGGCTATCGAATGTCACTCCTAGGATTTTAGGGTGATTAGTCGTCGGTATTTTGGCGCCATCGACGAAGACGTCCAGTTCTAGCCCTACCTCCTTGGTCCAGATTGGAAGTAGTATGGCGGTGGATTTTACGGCGGAGATTTGGCGGCTCCTTGCAGTGAAGAAATTGGAAAGATCGGTAAGATGGGTCCGTACTAGTCTCCTGCGTCCGCCTTCTTCCCTGGCTAAAAGAGGGGAATGATCCTTTTCATTTTCCACATCTCGGGGATGATCAGGGTGGACAGTGACAAATTGAAAGCGGCGGTCATGTACTCGACTCCCGCAGGTCCGCAAAAGCAAAAACAAAATACATGTTCCTTTTTTATTGTCGTACCGATACCACCTTATGGAATACGCCTTGATTCTGCCTATTTCTCGTTGTTCGCTTCGCGTTGCCGCAGTATTCGCCACAGTACATTTGCTAAATGCGATAGCATGAACGCTCTTCTAAAACACATGTTCGAAAGTGCTAAATGTTGCATTTTGAATGCAGCAAAAACGCTGCATTAAGCTTGATATACAGTTCAATGCGAGTGTGAGCGTGAACGTTCGCAAAGGCAAAAAATTCCATTTGTATTTTTATGGACGCTCACACACATCTGTCAAAACTTGTCGTTCACATGCGAATGCTTTGCATGCGCACACAGTTGAGTGTGAGCTCGAAAAAAGGCATATTATGCATTTTAAATTAGTTTTTATTCTATAATTCTGAAAGATATTTTAATTCTCTATATTTTCATGTCTCAATTATAGCAAAAATTTGAGTAATAACGAAGATATTGGTCAAAATAAAAAGCTCACGCTCACGCTCGCATTGAACTGTATATCAGGCTTAAAGGCCAAAATACAATAGCGGAGTGGCAGTGGCAGTAACAGTTTTTAAAATCAGCTGTTACTGCTAATATTGGCAGTCACTGTTGTAGCAAACATTTTGACATTCCCTTTTGTTTGTTTACATTTTTCTTGTTGCCTTTTAGACTTCAGTGACATCAACAGATGTTGACTGCCTTTCATTCATGTTAAATTCAGCATGCGAAGTTTGCTGCGATGAAGGCAGTGACAGGGAATTTAGAATTTGGGCTAAACTGAGCAGTACTGCTAGCTGCCACTGCTGTATTGTGAGTCGGTTCATTGGACACCACACTTTCTAAAAAAACAGCTGATTTCGAAAAACTGTCGCTGCCACTTCCACTGCGTTATTGTATTTTGGGCTTAATAAGGCAGATTATCTTTTTTATGTATGATGCGTGAGAGCCCTGTGTAAGAACAATATTTTCCTCATTGTTATAACGGAAGTGAATTTTTCCCGTAATATTTTAACTTCCTGTGAAAAAAATACAAAATTCTGCAAAAATATGCGCCGCTCGCAACGTCTTATGAAGAAAACAGAAATTACTAACAAACCTACTGACCTTGTGTATGGTAGCACTCCCGGTTATGATAAAGCTAATATGGATATTAAAATACAAAGAGATAATGAAGATAACGGAAGTGTCACGAATGAGACAAAATTTAACAGATTACCTACACCAGTGGGTAAGGTTTACAGCTCAGAGTTATCTAACGATATTACAAGTCATAAGTTTGTGAGTACAGGGATTGTAGGGGCGATTCCAATAAACACACAGAAAAAGAATCCTATATCTAAACAGAGGAACCAAAAACGAGGGTGAGAATAAAAGATACTAATGCTTTGTATTTTGACATTTTGGAATGCACCCATACATATGTATCTACAAATATATCAAACTGCAATTATCAGGTAGGTTCAATCACTTCCGGGTCAACTTCGACCTCTTCGAATTTGAATTCAAAGCGAATTAGATTGAAATTCACTCGTTAGTGAATTGCAGAACCTGCTTGTAAATGTATGTTTTAGTTGGTAGTCTTTAATTATAACTTATTTATTAAACAAATGTTTTATTTTATACTTTTTAATTTAGTCATCGATCAGCAGCGGTTGCATCAACTGCTAGTAAAGGAAGAAAAAAGCGCATAACACAGAAAAAAACCCCTGGACAAAGAAAAAGTTCATTGGCTGCTGCCATGGAGAACAATGAAATAAAAGCTCCCACCATATCTATCGACAGTTATTTGAACCCATTAAGAGACCCATTAATTCGAACTGAAGTAACAGCTAGGCCGATGGAAAGTAAATCTTTATATTCTTGCAATAAAGGAATTCCTACAATGAGCATCCAATCAAACACATATTCTCTATTACCTCCAATTTATCCCACTCATTTCACTAATCAAAACTTTGATGACAAATTAAATAATCCAACATCACAATGGAAACCTGCTTCCGTTTATAATAAGAACGTATTACCAGAAACCAATTTTCCTACACCAGAATTAACACAAACTCTCGATTTTGATTCATCAACTTCTACACTTTCCCTACCGGAGTCGTTACGAGAAGTATTTGGCTGCGATGATATACGAGATATTTTAAAATTGGATAAAGTTATATTTCGTATGCAAGTTTTACACTTACAAACTTTAGCATATGTGTTAAATATTCAATATGATTACTTAATTAATTTGGTGGAGAAGATAATGAAACTGGATACTGAAACATTGAAAAAAGTAGCTTTTGCGTTTCAGCCTGAAGCTGTACCAACGAAGTGTCCAACTATAAACATCGAAGAAAAATTCATATTATTAGACTAAAAATAATAACTGAAAAGCTTCCTAAATTAAAGAAATAAACACACTTCTGTATATAATATGGCAATCGTACGTTATTCTCAAAAATTTGAACACATATGCGCGGCTGAAGTGAAACTTCGTCAAGTCACCATATTTTATATGCGTATTTTTCTGCACAATAATGAATAACTATCTTAAACTTAATCATGCCTATTACGGTATCCGATGGATGCCATCCGCATGGATCTAAAATATATATACGTAAGTAATTAAAATGCATCTAAACTATAAAAAATACTAAAAATTAAATCCAAATACCAAAGCCAACCCAATTTTGATGAATTTTTTATTAGTACAAAATCTCACAAAAGGATATTTGTGCAACATGGTGTATGGGCAACGCATTTTTTTATTACTGTTAAAAGCGTTACTTCATGAACAAAAGTGTTGAAAATGCTAAAAAGTTGTAAGACACTTAAAATTTTTATCAATATTCCGTTGCCCGTTTTGCACAAAAAGGAGAAAAGTCCTTCAATATTCCTGGTAATGTCATTTTACACTACAATCTTGAAAAATGGGACTAATCAGCATTTTAAAATCGTGGGGAAACCTCCACCTCAGCACTGTTCAAGGTAACAACCACCTCTTCACATGACTACTCAACCCAATTCAACTAAGACTACTATCCCCTACCTTTAATTATACTTGACGACAACGATTGAAGGATTATTCCATTCTAGGCAGGTTTAAGTAGCCCCTACAACATTATTAACGGCCGCTTTAGCGGTGTGTTTAGAGGTGCCAGCAAATTCTAAAATTAGAGAAAGTCTAGAAGATCGGCCAAACGCTTATTGAAAGTGTAGGCGCCAAATATTATATTTTTTATTTAAGTAATGTAAATAATCTTTTATTGTTTGGTACATTTGCTATTTATTCCTCAAAGAACTTACCTTGACTTTCATTTGCAGCTGATCGTGATCACCAGCTGGCATAAATGGCAATAGGTTCGTCGAAAATCCAGCATGAATTATCCAACACTCAAAATCCGAAATATCAGAGAGTAAGAAAAAATTGTCTCAAATTCTATCTCATATTGAGAAACTTCCGTTCGTGTAGAAATTTGCAGGAATTTGCAAGTTTCCCTGCCAGCTGGTGTCTACGGTTGCATTTCAAACATAATAAATTTTTATAGATTTTTTTAAATTCTCTCAGATGGACCAAAACAGATACATTTCAATTTCTTTATCGTACTAGCTGTCGCGTTTCTTAAATCGACTCTGGTTGCATTTGCATCCGATTGCGAATACAATTTTTTTCAGCCGAGTTAAGCTCAAATCATTGAAATTAACTAAATTAATTATATCAACAAAAATCGCCCGTGTTTATAAATTTTTAAATTTAACGAACTTATTTATTCAAATTATCGTAGACGAAAATTCAACCATGTGCCACAATCATATGTTTTTCGTGACTGCAAATTCCTGCTGGCTAAAATTTTTCCAGAAAGAATTTGCAACTTCTCTCAGGAGAACTTTCACTGTGCCCTCTCAGTTTTTGAGTGATGGATAATTTTTTGGTCTGCACGAACGCGATTTGGGTAAAATTTATGATAATTCGTACGAATTCGTTAAAATTTTTTGTTCGACGAACAAACCTAATGATTACCGACTGCTGATAACAATAAAATAAGACTTATTTATTAACATGTAAGTTGATTTATGTAATATTTCTTTGCTTTGATATCCTTAAGATAAAAGCCCCACCAGCGGCAACGGCTCAGAATGGTATTTTTCACCACGAAAAACAAAATATATTTTAAATGATAGATAGTAAATTAGCCATATTTACAAATTCTTTAAAAGGATCGAAACATGTTTCATACCTATACTAATATTGCATAATATTATGTATGTTGCGATAATTAAATTCAATAAATTGTAGGGGACTGAAGAATTTTTAGTTTTTAATAATATTAAAGATACAATCGTTGATTCCGGTTGTCAATAAAACTTTCTCGTTTAAATTTTCAAATAGTCGATTGGTCTTGACCACTTTACAATACATTTTTTAAAATTAAACGTTTGTAGCTAAAGAACTTAACGCGAAAAAAGCAGCCCATATCCTACCAATTTGAAGGAAAAATAAAAAAATAAAAAATAAAGTATTTCAACTAGAAAATCTGCCGGTTATATACATTCAGCGACAAAATATGAATACACTGACGTTTTGACGATTTTATTTATTTATATTTTCCATACCAAATAGCTCATCTAACAGCAAAAACTAGCAGAATATTTTTTTCCCACGTTCCCACGACAGTCGGGTCTACGTAACCGAAACGACCCAGATTTATATCTGGCCAAGGACTGTCACTCCAGCAACACTCCCCACCCCACCCTTTGGGGAACTTACATGCTGCTACAACCACAGAATATTGTTTTTTTTTTTTAAATTTCATATACAGCCCAATTCTTAATACTCCCGGGGAGTTTGTCCTCCGGGAATTTATTTCTTCCGAGAAAGAAACCCTCAATAAGTAACTCCCAGGGAGTAGCATTTTCCCCAAAGAAAATTTAAGAAATATGAAAATCTTTTATCAAAATTTTCTATTTTTTAATTCGATTTCGGTTGTATGCAATTTTGTAACCCATTCAAATTTAGTATTATATGTACGGTGAACATAAATATGAATTGAAAATTTAGGACAATTTTTCATAGAATAAAAATAACAAAAACGTGTATAGTATATGTTTCTTAATTCCATTTTAAACTTTAAACATAAGTCAAACTTTCTTCATTGGTATTAATCTTTTCTTAAATGAATATTTATAAAATTATAATAAAACATATTATAATTACATTAGCTTACACGAAAAGTGAACCTCTGTAAAGATAATTTTATAGACAAACTTTGGGTCGTTTAACTCGAAAACAAAACCCATTTTTCAAAGAAACATTTTCAGAATTTTTCCAATGAATGGCTTTGTTGGTATTTTCGCTGTTATTCGTAAAAAGTCGACGTAAAGGTATTTTGCCGCCCTTTACAAAAATATGTAATTGTGCAGAATGCGTTACATAGTGTCTACATTTCTCATCCGATTTTCATTATCTTAAAGCTTGTTCACATTATCGTAATAGACGGCTCATTTGTAATTTATGAGTAGTTTCACCTTGTAAAATCTGTTAATAAATTAAATAGAAATCAGACAATTCATCATAAATCAATAAGCAAATCAAGAAAAAACAAGTAATTTTTAGCCAAAAAAACCGACTTCAATTCTCATATAAAAAAATATATATATTTCATGATCAAATGATCTGATCTAAACCTCTGAACACTACCTTTCCGATGCAAAAAGAATTATCGAAATCGGTTGACGTGGTCCAAAGTTATGCGGTACCATACACGTGCTATAGTCTTCTTAATCTTACTTGTTTCGACTTTGTCGCTTGTAGCTTTAATAATTTTCATTGAAATCGGCACAAGTTATATATTTTTGTAAGGGCCACATCAATACCTTTCGAACTTACGTTGATTGGGAGATTTTTTTTTATGAGTTATTGAAGAAAAGCTCCGATAAGTACCAAATATCATCCATCCATTGTTCGCGGCCGCGCAAAATTTAGACGCACTGACTGGTTGAAGTTTCAAAATCAGGATCCTCTAGGATCCAGGACCTTCATGTAGTTATCAATCAGTTATCGACACTGTGCTTCCGCCGTTAATTTTGAAGTATCGAATAAAATGCGGGACAAATGCAGGACACTGGGAAAAAATCAGTACATTTTAAGTTTTTATGTTTTGAAAAACTACGCAGGACAGACCTTTGAATAACAGTACGGTCCTGCAAAAAAGCAGGACGGATGGTCACCATAATTATATGGTGCAAATTTAAAGTCTCCAAGAATTACCATTGATTTTAGAGATCTTTTTTGTCAAGGGTGTTGCGCATTTTCTTCCCTATATCACATGAACAAAATTTGTTTTTTATTGAATTTTTTTATATTTCTTGAATTTTCCCCGAGTTCTATATGAAATTAATTAAGCTGCTGAATGAACTACATTTTTATAAAAAATAAGAAAATTTTGGTATGGAAAATATATATAATTAAAATCGTCAAAACGTCAGGGTATTCATATTTTTGATGCTGACTGTATATATAAATAATTAATTTCAACGTATCTTGCTGGGTGCTCAAGTGCAAGTTGAAATTCAATTGTTGTTTCATTTTTCAGTAGGGATGCCATTCAGAATTAAATTTTTTATTTTATTTCCGTCTATCTTTTGGATTTGTTTGCTGTCGATTAGTAACCGAAGAAGTGAACTCACTAATAATGCCAAGTACACACTCCGCAGCATTAACGAATTATTTGGTTTCACCTTTGCTTTGAATATATTACTTTCGAACTAATACATACACGTGGAAAAACATTCCCGCAGCTTGTAATTTAGTAAGCATCACTATCATAATTAATGTCTTGCTGTGCTTGCGTTGAGTCGTCCGAATGCTCCGATATCGGTTCTTGATCTGCGTCCACGCTCTGCTCATTTCTAGCGGGACTAAACATTGGGACCACTGCTGAGTCAAATGCATCTCTTAGCTGGTTGTTAGCACCCTTTGGATCGAGGTCGGTTGCCCAGCTGAAGTGCATAAGTGCTGAATCAACATTACCAAGAGTTTTATGGATCTTTCCAATTAAATAAAATACTACTGACTCCTTTGGCACCACTTCTTTTAGTTCTTCTAGTTCCCGCAGAGCTTCTTGATGCTTTCCCAGTGAAAAATAAATTGAACCACGGTGAAAACGCGCCAACGGATTTTTGGGATCCAACATTGCGGCGGTGTTCAATGTCTGTAGTGCTTGTTCCTTTTTCTGCATAAAATATTGCATTGCTCCAATATGTACCAATATAACCGAATTTTGAGGATTGATCTTTAACGCCCTGATGTAATACAATTCAGCTAATTCGTACTTTTCTTGCTTCGAATATATGGTGCCCATGCCAAACCACGCATTATAGTGTCGCGGGTCTCGCGCTACTGCGGCGTGGAAATAATCTGCTGCCTTATCCAACTCTTCCGTAAGAACGAGCTCATGACCAAGCAGAGTGTAGCTGTAAACGAAATCAGGGTCCACCTGAACGGCACGTTTGAAGAACTTAATAGCCGTCTCGTGCTCCTTGTGCAAAGAGAAGCAATTTCCGGCGACACACCAAGTAACGGGAGAAGTCTTATCCTGGTTTATTAAATCTTGT